TAGTTACATTTTTCCTGAGCTCTTGAGGCGATGCCGGGGATGTCTCTCAGGAGAGGGTTTGGCCTGGATTTGATCCCTAAATAAATGAATTTGTGCTCTGTCAGACACAGCTCATGTACGTTTAGGTAATAGAGTGTTTGTTTTTTTAAATTTAGTCCATTGTATGTACTTTAAAGTGTGTGGGCTTCTGGAGTTCTTGTTTTGAATTTTTATGTGTGAGGTTGTTTTCTGTCTACTACATATATACAGTGACTGTAGAGAGCAGAAGAGGGCATTGGATATCCTGGAACTAGAGTTTTAGAAGGTTGTAAGCCACCTTGTGGGTGCTAGGAACTAAATCTGGATCCTTCTCAAGAGTAGCCAGTGCTACCCCCCTTGAATTGTGTGATTTTTGTGATGTTCATGTAGCCCCTTATGTAAAGCTTCCTCGATGAAAGCGTATAGATGCCATGGACATCAGGGTCAGAAGCCACCTTGGCTTACTGTTCTCATTCTGGTGGCACAAAGGCAACGGCAGCATGTGTGATAGGCATGCAGCTATTGGCATTGTTTGCTTTTAACAGTCATCCGTCCTAACACAGCTAATTCTTTTTTAAGCTCCATTTTATTTCCAGCTACTTGAGTACATTCCAAAATGATTTTGAAAGCCTCAGTAGTGAAGAGCAGTCTGCTATAAAAGAAGACATGTTGATTGAAGTCAACAGGTAAGCTTTTCCTTGTGTGTTGGCAAGTGTAGTCAATTGCCAGTCAGTGGTGGTGCCTGTCTGCATGGAGAGGCTGGAGATGGTGACATGCTCATCCACTCATGTTCTATTGTCTGAACTTTAGCAGGAGCTCCAGAAAGTGTGGGTTGGAGAAGCCTCCTGCTCAGGGAGCAGCTTCCTGCCCAGTGCATAGGACAGGTTTTCTGGAGCTGCTGTCAGCTGGTGGTTCTGATACTCTCTTGTAGCAGAGCATGGTCACCACAGTGTCCTGTGTGCCCTGCTAGGCAGCTGGGTGTATTCACACCAGTAAGTATTCCTATGGCTGGCCAGAGGTGGGAAGAGTCCAGTCCCTTCACACACAGTCCCACAAAAGGGCCAAGGCAGCACTTACTGCATAAAGAAAGATGCCTGGTAGCACGGCTGGGGTATATGATGACTTCTGTGGTTCCCTAACTGCCCTCACATGGCTGATAGACTTCTTACTTTTGTGCTTACAGGTTTGCCCTTGCCTCCCATTTCTTCTGGGGACTTTGGTCCATTGTACAGGCCAAGATTTCATCCATTGAGTTTGGGTACATGGTATGTATCCTCAACTGCAAGGAAGAGCTGTGTTGTGCAAACTCTTGGTTTGGGCATTTGGCAACCTGGTGGCACTGAGGCTGTCTGACCCCAAAAGTCCTTCTTGATGATGTTACTGTTGTTTTACCCCAGGCCAAAGGTGCTGCTGGGAACTCTGGGCTTTGTTAGTCAGCCTCACTGCAGTCCCTTTTTCTTTCTTTCTTTCTTTCTTTCTTTCTTTCTTTCTTTCTTTCTTTCTCTTTCTTTCTCTCTCTCTCTTTTTTCTTTTCTTTCTTTTTTTTTTTTTTTTTGTGTGTGTGTTGAGACAGGGTTTGGTTTGTTTGTGTAGCCTCGACTGTTCTGGACTCATATTTGTAGACCAGGCTGGTCTTGAACTCACACTGATCCACCTGCCTCTGCCTCCCAGAGTGCTGGGATTACAGGTGTGCGCTACTGCACCTAGCTGACTGCAGCCCCTTTCCACCCAAGGAACACACAAGTGAAGAAAGGTGCCACCTCCCATGCTCTAAGGCTATAGTCTCATTACCACTCCATCCTTCAGCCTGTAAACCTGGCTTCACAGTAGAAGCTGGTCCATTGTTGTAAGCCAGGCTCTAACGCTAGAGCTGTCCTTGTCCTTGACACACTCTATTTCTTGTGGCAGGTCTCGCCCATTCTAGGATGACTCTACTTTAGGTGGGAGGTTTGATAATGATGCCATCAGGCAAGAACAGGAGAAATTCAGATATTTCAAGCAAGTTTTGGATTAGTGAGATGGCTCAGCAGACAAAGACATCTGCCAAATAAGCTTCCTGATTACTATTTAGTACTCATGTGGGGGAAGGAAGTTGTCCCTTGACCTCTACACGTGCTCTGTGGCATGAATACCTCCTGAAAAATAAAATGTAATTTTAAAAATGTGATTTGATCAGATGAAACTGAAAGATAAAACAGACCTCAGAGCAAGGATGGCACTAGAGAAGATGTGGGTTATGCCAGCATGGTGGTCCACAGTAGCACTCTTAAGGTCAGGTCAGCCTAGCCACATAGTGAAGTACTGCTGTGTTTGCTCTCTCCCAGGAATATGCCCAAGCCAGGTTCGATGCCTACTTTCACCAGAAGAGGAAGCTTGGAGTGTGAATGGGATGACTCCATTCTTCACCACTGGACTGCAGGAGGCGGCTACGCCAGGCCCTTGGTGGAATGCTGCTGTGACCACTGCCCTGGGCAGAAGGCCTGGATGTCTCACTACTGAGCGCCGATGTTTATGATACTACAGACTATATTAAAGTGGAGTAACATTTCTTTCATCTTTGTTTACGCTGTCACTAGGACTCTGAACCATGACTGGAAGCAGAAATATAGTATGATAGTGCAATAGCTCAGAGCCCGCCTAACCTGGAGGCCTTTTGGCTGCATGGCTACCGCTTTTAGCCACCTACAGCCTCAGCCAGACAGAGCAGTGCTGTGTGGGTACTCCAAGTGCTGACTTAGGATATTAATGTGCTGCAGCACATCTGTGACCAAGCTTTGTAGGTGACAATGTGGCAATGTGTTGGAGACACTTCTGAAGGGCAAGCAAGCAAACATACTGTGAAGTGGCTCAGCAGGATGAGCCTGCATCATGGGGTCTGTGGATGGGGGACAGCTGTTCCTGGAGAAACAAGGCACACCTGTGCGTGTGCACCTGCGTACAGTAGCTGCAGCCTCCCCCCCCCCCCCCCCCCCCCCCCCCCCCCCCCCCCCCCCCCCCCCCCCACTGGCTGGCCTTAACTTCAGTGTCTCCTACCTGGGTGTGCTTTACAGCTCCAGCTTCCCTGGGGAGGAGCATTGGAGCTAGCTTCCTCACCCCTTCTTGCCTTCCCTCTGCCTACCCTGGAACTTGGGCTTCTGCTCGGGTCCCTCCGAAGCTGCTTCCCATCTGATGTCACTTGGAGACAGCAGCTATGTGTAGAGTATTGGGGTACAGGTAGACTAGAGCTGTGAAATCCATGTACATTAAATGCCCAATGGGATAAACTTAGATTTTTTTTTTTTACTCTGAACTCCGAATTGTTTTGTGCACATATTTCTGCTACCACTGAGACTGTATTATACAGATAAATAAAAACTTGAAACCTGTCCTCAGGCTGTCACTCTGTGTATGTCAATACTTTGTTTTCCTTCAACATATACACACATGGAAAAGCCATGTGACTTGTGCCAGGTTGGGCATCCTCCTCCTCAACATTCTCTGAGACACCATATTCTGGTGTCCCACTGGTCTCTGTGGCCCCAGATAGCAAAGGTCTCTGGGATTTGCCACCCTTCTTGACAGCCTCACTCTGCTGCTTTGCCAAGTTTAAGGCTCAAGCCAGCAGCAAGAGGGAGCTGCAGCTGTTCCTGCTGATCTGACCAACAAAGCTTCAGGAAAAACACAGCCTGCCACCCCTCTTTTATATGGTTAATTCTCTGAACTCCGCACTGAAGCACAGGATGAAAGTGGCAGTGGCTTTGGCTGTTTGCTCCTGCCCTTTCTTACAGTGACCACTCCAGCGGACTCTCGGCTTGCCTAATGATCCTCAAATAACAGGCTCCTTCACAATCTGCTTAATAACCTCTTGTGCTTTTCATTATTTTTAATTATGTGGTGGGGAAAGGTACATGAAATGTACCAGTGTCCCAGGAGGCCAGAGGAGTAGGATGCCCGGGAACTGGAGTCACAGGCAGTTGTGAGCTGCCCAGTGTGGATGCTGGGAACCAAACAGGTCTTCTGCAAGAGCACTACAAACTCTTAACCACTGAGCTGTCTCCAGCCCAACCTACAACTTCCCATTTCTGACAGTGCCTTTCCCAAATCACCTTTGTAGCCCCTACCCTCTCTGCCTGCTGTTTCCTGTTCTTGGCATGGTGAGCCCTTCCAGGCCTTGTGACTGGCTTGCTTAGTTATTTCCTGCTCAAATGAGCAGTATTACCGGATCCATCTTAGAAGTGGTGATGACTGCAGGTGCTGCTGCATGCTGTTCCCATGACAACTGAAATAGCCAGGTCAAGCAAGTGTCAGCTAGGGCAGCCCTGCTGATGTCTCCTGGGGCTCCTCCACACTCCTCTGCCCTGCTCTGTTTCCCTTAGCTTAGTCTGCCAAGCATGTGAAACTACCTGAAAGATCCTAGTATTCCCAACCCTACATTCCGAGATCCTCAGCAGAACGGGCCGCAGCCCTTCCCAGCAGCTTGCCCACGGCCATTGTGGCTCACTGTACCCATAGCAGCACTGGCCTCAAAGCAGCCTTTGTTGCCGGGGCCTTCAGCTGCAAGAACTACTTTATAACTTGGCTGGAAAACCTAGGTTTCTGGTCTGTGACATACACTGGCTATGAATTCCTCCCAGCCAGAGGGAATGAAAGAGGCCACTCCTGTCTCGACCAAGCATGGAGGGAAAAGGACTTCAGGAGACAGAGCCTGAAGTCAAAGCCAGTTTTGCACACCTCCCAAAATGGGAAGCTCACTTTTTCCACCTGGTTGAAATCTACTCCCACCAAACTAGGACATCCCTTCTAGGCCCTAGAGCTAACCCTCTTGGTCCCTCAAGAGTCTGCAGATGTGTTCGTGGGTTTTCACAGCAATTCTAAAGGCCACCACCTCCTAACCTTTACCTCTGCTGAAGGCTGGTCTAAGTAGATGGCCTATTTGGAACCCATAGCTCTGACCACTGTATTGTCAGCCCAGCCCTGGTATCCCAGAGAGGACCAAGGCAATGTTTCTGGGCCAGCCAGCTCTTTATTCCCTTTCCTGCTTTAGAGAGGCAGGGGTTGTACTGGGCGCTACTCATCGTCCACAGTGAAGGTGAAGGGGCTGAGCTTGTAGCCGGTACCCGAATAGAACTTGTTCTGGAACTCGACCCTGGGTGCAAAAGAGGGGCCAGTGAGAGGGACGCCACCCGTCCCCTCCATGCCCAGGCTTACTGCAGGGGTGCTCACCAGTGCAATCGCAGGGCATGCAGGAAGGCTGAGAGTCCCTCCATCACCAGCAAGATGGCCACAGTCATCACAGCAAAGGCAGCAAACACAGGGACCAGCACCACAGCTGCCACGCCCATCTCTCGGCCCATGCCCAGGCCCACGCGCATCACCATGGCCCACAGGACCTCAGACAGCTCTGCACACAAGGAGCAGAGGCCAAAGTGGAGGAATGACTGTCAGTCCCCCAACCCCACTCCAGCATTCTTGATCCCTCCCTGCCCCTAGAGCTTGTGAGGCATCTCTATTTCACAGGGTAGGACATTTAGGCCCTGAGAGAAAGGTCACTTACGGGCATGGGCCAGGCTCAGGGCCCAGAGACGCAAGTAGGAGGCTGTGTTGGAGATGCAGCCCAGGCAGAACTCAATGGTGTGGATGGCCTGGTGCATGAAGATCTCAGAGGGGACAAACTGCATGGGAAGAGGCCATGAGATAACAGCCAGGGCTGGCAGCCCTCCCCCAAGAAAGTACTGCACCACCCACCTCAGCCTCCTCCTCATCTGCTGGGCTCCCAGCCTTCTCCTCATCATGGCTCCAGCTGTTCTCCGAGGTGGCAGCATCATGGGAAGCCAGAAGCTTGTCACTGGCCTCACCCTGAAAGCAGGTAGCATCAACAGCTCCAGCCTGCGGAGCAGCCCATGCCACCCAGCCAGCATCACGGAGCCTGCAGGGAAGGAGGGTCCCCTCCCACACAGCCCTCCTTCCCTGCACTCCTCCCTACTCTACCTGTCTGCCTGCTGGCCTTCTCTGGGGGTTTCTGCGGCGGTGCTTGCGCAGCAGGTACAGGGGTGTGCCCAGCAGCAGGACAGGAACTGTGGCCAAAGCCAGGACCACCAGCGCATACTGTACCACTTCCTGTGGGCGAGGAGGGCAAGGCAGGCATGGACAGTGTGCACAGTGAGTCACTGGTATGGTCATATTGATCCTATGGAACTGCAGTCCCTCGCCTGGGGACACTAACAAGGACCTCTGAGAAAGGACTTCAGGTTCCCAGTACCTCCTGTGGAACCCCTCTCTGCTGCAAGCTTCAGTCCATTGCCTCTGATGTAACTCTACAGGGATTCTGGCCAACAACCCATTTCTCAGGTGGCTCTGTAGCTCCTGGTGTCCCAGTGACTCAAGTGGGGCCTCCCCAGAGAAAGGGTCTGAGCCATGCTCTGCCCCTGACCTACCTGCCCATGGAAGAGTATCCGATTGGTGGGACTTTGCGAGAAGAGGAACATATTGATAAAGTGAATGAGGATGCTGGGCGCCAAGGAGGGTCTGTCGGCCCAGACCTGCAGCCACTTGTAGACAATGAGGAACACAAGGTAGCCGAAGAGGCCCAGCAGGAAGATGAGCTCAGGCAGGGTCTCCAGCAGAAGCCGGTGGGTCTGGCCAAAGTGCCTGTGGGAACAGATGGGTCAGATCACTCTGCTGGCCCCAGGAGAGCACTGCCCGCACCCATTGGCAGCCCTGGGCTCACACGTGGTTGAAGACACTGAGGAACACCCCGAAGGCCATGTGGGTGACCCCGAGGATGACAGACATCTTCATCTTGAAGGAGTTGAGGAAGCTCAGGTGGTTGGTGGCCAGGCTCCAGATCTGCGGTGGTGGATGAGGTGAGCACCCAGCAACACCGCGGTCGGTTCTGCCAGGACGCCTCCCACCCCGTCCTTCTCAGCGCCTTCCTGCTCCCTGACAGACCCAGTCACAGCACCCCATCACTAGTTCTAAGGGACAGCCAAAGGAAGCCAACAGTTGCTCTCACAGGTCAGGTCAGGTCACGCGACCAGGGCTCAAGCCTGGTTCTTGCCAGCTGGGTACCACAGACATCTAGGCCCACATTCCACCCTCACTTGTGCAACGGGGTGATGAGAAGGGGGATCGTAGGCCTCCCACACGGACCAGGTATTTCACACGTACTGGTCTGCTATCTGGCCTGGGTTTTGGTTGGTTGGTTCCAGACCGGGTTTTATGTAACCCAGGCAGGCCTTGAGCTCAAATGCAGCCAAGGGTGCATTTGAACTCAGATCCTCCTGCCTCCCACCTCCCAAGTGCTTGAATTACACTTGTGTACCACCAGTACACTCAGTTTGGATACTGTTTTTTACAGGCCTCTCTGCGTGTGTGTCAGGCCAAACACTGGCTCTAGCACAGAGCCTGGCACCCAGGAAGTGCTCGGTGCCCATTACCAAAGGGGACAGTAAGCCAACGGAGCTGTGGAGCCCTAGCCAGCCCTCCCAACTGCCTCCATCATCCACACGCACCAGTGTGGCCCACTTACCGGATCAATGCCAAAGGGGTAGGGTCCCAGGAAGACACCAGTGATGTTGGGGTTCAGAGTGAGCATAGGGTGCTGGGACAGATACTTGTCACTGTGGTGAAAAAAAAGGTGATGTCAGCGCTGCACAGTGGGCCAGGGACCTCGAGGGGGGAGGGATAGAGGTCCTACCTCCAGCCTGACTGGTTGGCCATGGCAGCCACACTCCAGCCTGAGGGGAAAATGGTGGTGGCACGGCTAAAGCACTCATTGTAGATGAAGCCAGTGTAGACGGAGAACAGACCCATGAGCAGGAGTAGGTAGCGACCCCCAAAGAAGGTCTGCCAGATCTGGGGGGATGGTGTGATGAGAAGCTGCTCAGCTCTCGTGCCCTATCCCCTGCCAGCTACTGAGGTTTCGTACCTCGTTCCGGGCAGCCTTCACAGCTGGCCGGTTCTCAGTGAGGACCATGGCCAGGGCAAAGAGAAACATGAGCAGTCCGTGGCCCACGTCGCCAAACATCACAGCGAAGAGAAAGGGGAAGGTGACAATGGTGTAGGGAGCTGTAGGCAGAAAGGACACCGTCAGGTACGTTCCCATGGGGGACTGGGTATCTGCTTCCTTGTCTGGGTTGCCACAGAGGGACCCCCGGGACCAGGCGAGAGTGTGTCTGTGAAGCAGGGACCACATGCTGATAACTGTCAATCTGAGCCATCTTGAGTTTGCTACTTAAGCCCCATGCACCTGTTTCTCAGTGCCACCTCACAGGGTCCTTAGGAGTGTTGTGAGCAGGCCTCGCAGGTGATAGGCTGTGGACATAGGCTCAGCAAGTGCTAGCTTGTTGCGGATATAAACATGTTTTTGTTTTGGTCCCAGATGTGGCGTGTGGGACTGATGGTCCACAGCAGCAGACTATTTGCCTCATGCCGGCTCTGAGAGGAGCTCTTTGCCAGCTGCAGATGGTTTAAATCTGAGGACTCTGGAGAAAGAATAAATGCCAGAGCCTAGAGGGTGAGGAGGCTGTGAGAAAGAACAAGGATGCTCCTCCTTCCCCCTTGCTGCTCCTGGCTGTGTTGTGAGACAAGAGGTTGGAGATCTCCTAAAATGAGGATTGGACTGGCTTCAAGGAACCTGGTGACCCTAACCAGCAGGAAGCAATTAAGAGAAGTGTGGCCCCTCTCCCACTATCCCTTTCTCTCTCCTACCTGGTGTTGGGGTGTTGGAAGGGATTAGGGTGGAATAGACAAAAAAAAAAAAAAAAAAAAAATGTAAATGAAAGAGGGAAAGAGGTTTTTTTTGTTGTTGTTGTTTTGTTTTGTTTTTTTAAGATAGCGCTGCTGCTGAGTGGTCCAGGATGGTCTTGAACTCCTGAAGTAATCCTCCTGACTACTATTGTTGTGTGTGTGTGTGTGTGTGTGTGTGTGTGTGTGTGTGTGTGTGTAAATCAAAGGACAACAATGGGTGTCATTTCCCAGAAGCCTTCTCCATTTTGAGACAGCGTTTGTCATTAGTCTGGAACCTCACCAAGAACGAGCTGCCTGGTTCCATCCCAAATCTCATCACAGCTGAAATTACAGCCATGCACTGCTGAACCTACATGGGCTTTGGAGATCCAAACGCAGGTCTGCAGGCTTGCCAGCTCCCTAGCTCTGTTGCTAACTGGTCTTTTGTTTGTTTCTTTTTTTTTTTTTTTTTTCTTCCCAAGACAGGGTTTCTCTGTGTAGCCTTGGCTGTCCTGGACTCACTTTGTAGATCAGGCTGGCCTTGAATTCACAGAGATCTGCCTGCCTCTGCCTCCCAAAGTACTGGGGATACAGGCATGTGCCACCACTCCCAGCTTGTGGTCTTTTTTTTTTTTTTTTTTTAATAACATTTATTCATTAATTTGTTGTAGAGAAGTCGTGCATGTGTGGAGGTCAGAGGATAACTTGCAGGTGTCAGTTCTCCTATGTGGATCCTGGAAACTGACCTCATACTGTCAGACTTATTGGCAAGCCTTACTCAGTAATCATCTCTCTGGCCCTGAATGCTTTGTTTAAGATCTATAAACTAGGCATGATGGCGCATACCTGTAATCCTAGCACTCAGGAAACTGAAGCAGAAGGATTGCCATGAGCCCAAGGCCAACCTAAATTGCAGTGCAAGAAAGACCCTGTCTCAAGCCAGGTATGGTGGTGCACACCTTTAATCTTAGCGCTTGGGAGGCAGAGGCAGGCAAATAACTGTGAGTTTGAGGCCAGCCTGGTCTATAAAATGAGTTCCAGGGTAGGCAGGGCTATAACGATACCCTGTTTCAAAAGACCAAGACTAAAAAAAAGCCCAAAAATCCTGTCTCAAAAATGGAAGACAAAACTATACACAGAAAACAAGTAAAAGGGCTGGAGAGATGGCTCAGCAGTTAAGAACACTAGCTGCGCTTCCAGAGGTCATAAGTTCAGTTCCCAGCAACTACATGGTGGCTCCCAACCACCTATAAGAAATCTGATGCCCTCTTCTGGCCTGCAGGTGTACATGCAGATAAAACACTCCTACATTAAAAAAACAAAACAAACAAACAAACCAAAAAACAAAAAACATAAATAGCCTGGCATGGTGGTGCATGCCTTTAATCCCAGCACTTGGGAGGCAGAGGCAGGCAGATCTCTGTGAGTTCAAAGCCAGCTTGGTCTACACAGCAAGTTCCAGGACAGCCAGGGCTACACAGAGAAACCTTGTCTTGAAAAATCACAAGTAAACAAACAAAAAAAGGAGCTAGAGAGTTAGTGTGCATGAAGCCCTTGGCTCTATCCGCCCCCAGGACTGCCTAGACCAGGCCTCATGGTCCACTCCTGTGATCAGGGCACTTGGAAGGTGGAGTTCAAAGGAAGAGCAGAAGTCCAAGTATCCAATAGAGTTTGAGACCAGCCTAGGAGAAGTGAGACCCTGTCTCAAAAACAAAACAGCAAGAGAAACCAATGCAAAAGAAAGCAAAAGAGAGGGGAGAAGAAACAAAGAAACAAAAGCTTTGCCACCAACCATCCAAAGGGCAGAGAGACAGTGGGTCCTGGTAGGCATGTAACAAGTTCCAGAAGGCCAAGATGCCTCCCTAATCTCTGGAATTAGGGTCAGAAAGGGGGTTCCGGTGCACATGCCTAATTACGGGCCAACTGTGAGCCCTTCAGAAGCTACGCTGTCATCCTTCTGCTCAGCCCCTCATATAGAGTGGACATTAAGCCTGTATTCAGTGTCCTTATATAGAAGGGGACATTTATTTGAACACAGAGAAGGGAGAAGACCACAAGGCCATGACAGCCATCCACAGCACAGGAGAAAGACCTAGAACAGATTTTCCCTAACAGGGGGAACAGTGCCTGCTGACACCTTAACCTCAGACCTCCATCCTTCAGAACCCTGAGCCCAGTTCTGCTGGTCTGTCATGTTTAGACAAACATGTCTAGTAGCCCAGGCTAGACCTGAGCTTGCCATGCCCAGCATGGCAAACATAGCTCTGGCCGGCCTTGCCCTTCTCCCCGCTTCCCCTCTGCCTTGCTAAACACTGTCCTAAAGCTAGCCACCAAGGTCTAATCTTATTTGGCCACTTTTCCTGAGGCTGACCACCAAGGTCCAGCTATCAAAGTATTGAAGTCCAGCAATCAAAAGCCCCTGCTGGCTCACCTAATTAACATGCCCAGTTAAAATTAAACAGCTCATCCATACACAGGGTCTCCCCTTTTATAAACCACCATTTGCTCCTCTCCATCCAGAGGCAGTCCTTTGTGGATGCCTGCCCCTGCAAATACTCCTTCCCCCTCTCCCCAGTTCCATTCCCCCTCTCCCTAGTCCTTTATCTCCTGTCTTCATCTCTTATCCCCTGCCCTTTGTCTCTTTGGGGCAAATAAATCCCTTTTGTGCTGAGAACTTGGTCTTGAGATATCCTGGGCCTATACGGATCTTTTCACCATGTCGCTGAGGCTGGCCTCAGACCCTGCTCCTCCTGCCTCTGCCTCCGGCATCTGCACACACCCAGCCGTCTCTGCCACTTAGCCACCTCTGCGACCCACAGTGCTTAACTGCAATGGTTCTAGCAAGTGACACCCCTCCCTGAGGTCCCACAAGAGGACAGCCACCGTCATGACCATTTTACCTGCCCTGGCAGGACCCCAGATGGAGCTCGGGATGCTGGTTCTGAGGCACTGAAGTCCCTGATCATGTGGCCGGTGTCGGCACAGCCTCAGACCGACCCTGCCTATCATCAGTTACGGCAGAGCCCCAGCCCTGCGATCGAGGCCCCTCCCCAGACAGGACACACCACTGCCACCCTGCACGCCAAGCCTGCACTCAGCGGCGCTGGGGCATCCCTCTCTACCTTCCTCTCCTCACAGCTCTATCCCTTTTGGGGTTCTCTCCAAGAGCACCAGCCTTGACAGGAATTTCAGACTACCTGGTCAGGATTCCCCTGACAGGCTCCGATCTTACCACAGTTGGACCGGGACCATGTGTACACCTGCACTCAGCCTTTACGGAGGTTCTGAGGATTCCAACTCAGGTCCTCACCCTTCACTGCAAGTACTTTGCTCACCCAGCCTTGAGCTCTCTCTGTAGCTGAGCATGACTCTGAATCCTTGGTCCTCCTGCCTCCACCTCCCGAGGGCTGGGATTATAGGCCTGCACCACCGTGCTCAGTTTACGCCGAGGACTGAACCCGGGACTTCGTGAATCAGCTAGGCAGGCACTCTATGGACAGAGCTACATCCTCATTCCTGTTCATTCCAACTTTGTAAAAAGAAACAAACCGAAACCACAGCTTGGCCAAATAAGCCACAACTCTAGGCTGGTGGAGGGCACTCTGACAGCCACCAGCCCTCCTGGTTCCAACTATCATTCTCATTTTACAGACCAGGAAAATGTGACCACAGAAACTAAGAAACTCATCAAAGCAAGCAAGCTGGACTTTAAGCCGCTCCCAAACCTGTTCCCTAAACTGTTCCATGGGGCTTCCTGTGGATTTAAACAGCAAAGACAAGAGTAAAAGTCCCAGCTGGGACTAGGGCACCCAATAGCTTCCCTAGAGAGATTGAACTGGGGAGTATATATCCTTTTTCTGCTGAAAAAGGATGGGGTCCGGCTCTTACCCGTAACCTCAGGGTCTGTACCCCAGGCAAAGGCCCAGCTCCTGCCCCTCTCAAGGTCTGCACCCAGGCAGCGGGTAGGAGGGCTAGCCCCCACTGAGGGTGCAGTGGCTCTCACCAGGGTTGACTTCGCGGTAGCGGCCCACACCATAGGCATCCACAATGCCCTGGAAGCTGGCAGTGAAGCGGTTGGTCCTGATGAGGGTTGGAGGCATGTCCCGGCAGGGGATGCGGTGGGCAACAGCACTCACTCCCGCCTCACTCTGGGGAGGGCAGAGAGACAGAAGCTGATGTTGAGGCCTTCGGAAACCCTGGGGGGCCCACCCAGGCCCAGCCCCGCACCATCAGGTGTGTGCCTCAGTGTCCCCACGTGGACCACCACTGCACCCATTGCTAAGGGGCCTGAGGTTCCCTACAGGCTCAGGTCACCTAGCCGCTGCCTTGGAAGTCCAACTTTGTAATTGCCTTGTGTAGCTTGGAGAGACTGTGGGAGGTCAGAGGAAGGAGGGTTATGGGACCAGGGATATCTGGGTAATGCCCTGGTGAAGGCTTCTAGGGCTGGTGCCCATCCCCACCCCAATCCCAGGGCAGAGCTGGGGTACTGGAAGCTTGACGTGAGAGTGGAGGCGGAGGAGGGGAGCAGGCCTCTGGCGGCCTGTATGCTCACCGAGCCATCCTGCAGCGCCTGTTGCAGGGTGGGCAGGGCCCGAGTGGCACACCACACCTCCGCAATGAGGCACTTGTGTGTGGTGCTCACGCTGCACTGGTTGAGGGCCAAGTACACAGCCTTCATCTTTCGGATCTGCGTCTGCCCCGGGGGCAGCAGCTGCCGCGCCCGGCCCAGCACCTGGCTCAGGAACCGTTCTGTCTCCCCTAGGACCTGAGGCCAAAAAAGGCAATCAGAAGGGACCTAGCTCAGGAGCCAACAGGAGTCAGGTCATGCGGACACTCACCTCCTGGAGCTCCTGACTCTGCTGCTGCAGCTGCTGCAAGGTCCCAAGCCGGGCTTCCTCCTGCTCCAGGTACGGGAAGACGTGACAGTGGAAACTGAGGAAAAATGGGGTTGAGAGGGTTTGCGCGAGCTGCAAGGCAGAGATGGGGACAGGACAGATTTGGTAAAGATGCCATCAGGGACCTGGGGGACACACGGTCAGCAGTATCTAGCTGGGAGCCTCAAGTGACCTCTGGAGGCTGGACACCGGCAGAGGCCGAGTGACCAGGCATGCACCCGGGGCTCACCAGTCTGTGATCTTCCGAATCTTCTGTCCGATCTGCTCACCCCAGTAGGAGATGACAAAGGTCATCCAGGTTGCAGGCTCACCCTGAGAGAGCAGGGCTCAGTTAGTCCCTGGAGCCCTGGCTCCTCCCAAACTGCCCCATCCTGTCCCCTGCCAGCTCACCGTCACCGGGTCCTCCAGCTGCCCCTCAGTCTCCCTAAAGCTGGCAATGAGGAAGCCTCGGCAGGCTCTCCAGAGCAGGCGCTCCAGGGCAGCAGCCTTGTAGGGTTCCACAGCACCTGCCACAAAACTGCCAGCAAGGCCGGAGGGGGCAGGGCTGCAGCCTCCCCACCCACCTCAGCAGAAAGCCCCCAACACACACACACACACACACACACACACACACACACACACACACACA